GGGGGGGGGGGAGTTAAAGTGCTGTTTTTGCTTTGGTTTTTGTTTCTGTTTTTTTTTTTTGCTGACCTGGTTTATTGATTTTAGGGCAACAATTCAGTGAGGAATTTAACAAAGTGAACATCCTAAGAAAAGTGCCAGTTCTGAAGGATGGAGATTTCATTCTAGAAGAGAGGTGGGAACTGCTGAGAAGATGGCCGGGGAGGGGAGCCCACCGCCATCCCAGGTGCTATAATGGTGCTCTTGCCTTAGGAGCGAGAACGAGCAGCTCCTCTCTCTTCTTCCAAACCGGCATGGGTGCAGCGTTCACATTCAGAGCTGGTTGTCTTCAAATCTCCAGAAGAATGCACGTGCATTATTGGCTCAGTGGAAAAGCAGCTAGGATAGAAAGTCCCTTCCAGTTGCGGGCTTGGAGGGTGTAGCTGGGCTTGTGACAATGACACCTGTAGCTGTAGCTTGCAAGTCAGAACTATAAAAGGCTCCCCTCTGATTCGGGGCATGAAGGCCTGGTTCCCGCAAGCTCTCCTGGCTGTGACACTAACAGGGTTCCAGTCAGCAGAAAGGTAGACAGAGAGGCCAATGGGATGGAAGCATGGTTTCCTTCTTTTCTGGCAGAGCATGACACGCAAAGGGGCTTTTTGCTCCTTCCAAGGAGCTGGGCTGCTCAGATGCATGGGAGTGGGGAAGGATGCCCCACGTGGCAGCAGTGACAGCCATTGCACAGCCCGGTCAGTTGTTGCAGCAAATGGCCTTTTCCACCCAGCTCTGGGATCTCGGTTGCCAGGAGAGCAACCAAGGCAGAAACGGTGCGGCACTACGCCAGCCGCATTTTGGAAATGTGTCTGAACGGCATGACTGGAAACCCCCACTTGAGCGAAAAAAGATGAAACGCTCTGGTCTCTTCCCTCTGGGCGATTCACACTGACCCAGCTTCCCCAAAGAGAAACCCCCCCCAAACCATAAAATCAGGCCAAGAAGACTGAATGTCTCCTCAATGGCTCTCCTTCAGCTTGGAGGGCAGAATCAAGTGGAGGGCCGCTGAGGGGGCCGAGTTTGTAGATGACAAAAAGCAGGGGGGGGGGGGGGCTAAACCTTTAGAAGGAAGAGATTCCAAAAATCTGGACAGATTTGGGCTGAAAAGGACAGGATGGAACTTAACACAGAGAAATGGCAAGTTCTGCATCAGGACAGGAAAAATGAGAGGGCCATGCATAACAAGGGGGAGCCCTGGCTTGGCATCCAAGCATCCTCACCAACCACAAATTAAGCAGGAGCCGGCAATGTGCTGTCGCTGCACTAAGGCTAAAGGCCAGGCTGCAGGACGCAGGTAACCCTGATCAGATCAGCTTTGTGATCTGGTGTCGAGTCAGCAAGCCCAGGGGAGGGTGCCAGGACAGGGAGGGGTCTGGAAAGCAAGGCTGGGAGGACGATGACATTTCGCTGCAGAGAAGACTATGGAGGGGAGACATGATGGCAGAAATCTGAAGGGCTGTCAGAGAGAGGGGGGGGCTGGACAAGACCCCCAGAGCTGAAAGTACAGGGAAGGAGAAGGCAGGTAGCCGAGGAGGAGGAATGAGCCGTTGGCCAGCAGAGCAGGCTGACCCTTGAAGCGGCAAGTTCTTCTTTGCTGGAGAGGTTGTTGGGTCCTGCCCTGAGTCGCAGGTTGGGCTAGATGACCTCTAAATAACTGTCCATCCCAAAAGTGGGCAGGGTTTTTTCCTGTCTTGACTTTTTGCCTTCTACCTGTTAGCACAGCCATCCTTCTCTACCTAACACGGAAATACAACACTTCAAGTTACTGGTACCCGCCTGATATGAAGAAACGAGCCCGGGTGGACGAGTACCTTGCCTGGGAGAGCAGCACCATACGGGCGAGTGCTTCCAAAATCCTCTGGCTCAAGGTGAGGCCAGCCCCGCTCACCAGCGCTGCAAAGCACCTGGCTGGCCACTGCGCAGGCCTCCCAACAAGACTCCGACGTCCCAAGAGGAGGAGGAGGGAACGCCATTGGGTGCAGCGTGGGCGCCATGTTGCCCACAGAATCCACTGGAGGGGAGGGAGGCAGAAACCAGCGGGGGAGCTGGGGGATCCCACCCAGAGGAGAGGTCAGGGAGCCCCAGGGCAGCAGGGCAGAAGGGATGTGCCACTCAGCTCTGGAGAGCTGCAAGAGCCCCAGCCGGTTCAAACTGGGGCCACGGGAATAGCTGGCAATTCGGGCCAGAAGCAGACTCAAATAATAAAGCCCATGGCCAGGGGCCTGCTTCTTTTGGAGGAAATGGTCACTACCTCAGGCGTGACCTTTCGTATTGCATGGGAACAGAGCAAGCTGCTATGCCCTCAACGGGGGCACAGCATTGCCCCCCCAAACTCCACTGCTCTGCTGGTAGAGACCACCTCCAGGCCGCCTCCACACCAAGGCAGGGCAAACTTTTTTGGGGGGGGAGGTGACATGCTAGTGCTGGCTTCAACTGAATAAGCAGCCAGTATCCAGAGCGACCCACTTCCTCTCCCCTCTGTCACCCTCGGCTCTCAGATCATTTGGGGCCGTTTGGTGCAGATGTGCCTATACAAGGACTGGAGCAGTGGGGGCCAATCCCTGCTGCACCCCTCCTGGCAGCAGACAACACGGGGGGCACAAACAGCCAACCTGGCAACAGCCTCCTCAGGATGAGGGCTCCGGATCTGCCACGGAGCTCCAGCCCCATCCCAGCGGCCTCTGTAGCTGTCAGGCCCAGCCCAAGAACAACGATGAAACAGTCCAGTCCAGTCCCTTTATTTGCTTAAACCTTATAGACAGAATCTTGCCAAACTAAACCTGTACTATTGGGGAGTGGCAATCCTGAACCTCTTTCGCTTCCCCCCCCCCCCCTGCCGATTGTATTGTCTCTTGCCTCCTCCCCCCTCCTGGAATGCGCCCCCCCTTCCCGACAGCCTCGATCTCCCACATCGCCCTCCTCCTCGTAGATACACGCCCTCACAGTAGCCTCCCTGGGGCAAAGCCGGGCCCCACTCCTTCTCTCTTCTCCCCTTCTGTACGTTAATTGTGCCAGTGCCTTTTCTGCGGGGCAGGTGGTGATCCCGCTCTTTCTGGGCCAGCAAGTATCCCCAGAGAAGCTATACGATACAATGGAGGAACTGAACGTTGCCGTACAGAAACTGGAGGACAAGTTCCTGCAGGACAAGCCGTTCATCATTGGCACAGAGATCTCCCTGGCTGACCTGGTGGCCATCGTGGACCTCATGCAAGTAAGGTCCACCCTGCCCCACCCCAGCAGCCCTCTCAGAGAGGAGATTCAGGATCTTCCAAAGCTGTACCACTAACCACCTGTGCCTCTCTCTAGCCCATGGGAGCTGGCTGTGATGTCTTCGAGGATCGGCCTAAACTCCAAGAGTGGCGCAAAAGGGTGGAGGTCACTTTAGGGAAGGACCTCTTCATGGAAGCACACAGCCGGATCCTGAATCCCCAAGAACTGAAGAACATCATTATTGACCCTCCTCTGAAAGCACAGATGAAGCCCATGCTCTTGAAGCTGCTTAAATAAAATAAGTAAACGGGGGTCCCACCCCGTCTGCCATTCACTCTTTCCTTGCATCCTACCACTGGGTTGCAGGTTTGGCTTCTCATGATATTGTGCTACAAGCCACTTTCCATATTGCCCAGATCACCTCAAACAGAGAATGGGGGGAGGGGAGGGGGGAGGGGGGAGGGGGGGGACCCACAGGAATATTTACGGTCTGCTTGGCAGTAAACATATTGCCATCTTCATCGGAGGCCTTCTGAGTGACTGTGCCCCTCACCTCCCCTGTGCAACTCTAGATATTGTACAAGGTCCCAAATCCTGGGGTCAGAGGAAATCAGGTAATTTTGCAAATGGATTGATATTATAATTGGAGTTTATTAATTCCCAATTGTCCACGGTCCACAATTTAGGTAGTGTATACCTAAAAAACATAATACCCAAATAAAATCCAGTGATGAATAAGATAAAATAATTGTCAGTAATATTAAACATATGCCACATAAAATCACAGTATGATCACAGTGGAACCAGTATCTCTCACGTTCTAACACCAAATGGTTTTTCAAGTACACGGGAGCATCAGCCCTCAACCTGGGCCCAGGAAGAATCTCTCTGGAAGAGCATTCCACCAGCGAGATGCCCCCATAACCTCACTGGATGGGGGCATCTGGAGGAGCCGCAGATGAGTGGACAGACCCGAGGCCATGTTGAGCTTCCAAGGCTTGGTGCTGGACCTGGGAATGAAGCGGTCTTCCACGTGATCTGACTGGCCAGTCCCAGATCTCTGTTGAGCTGGTTTACACAAACTGGTGCTTCATATCATGCTGCAGTGATCCAAACAGTAACTAATGGGGCAATGGCCCCTCAGTCCAGGCAAGGTCCTTGAGGAAATACTCAAGAGCTGATGGAAGGCAATCCGGATCAGCTTCGAAGCATCCTAAATTATGCACCCAAAACCTTTAGGGCGGGAGAGAGCAATCTGTACCCCCACTCCACAAAACTCCTAGAGTTTGGTCTAATCTTGATTCATGGCAAATTTTAGTGATTTCTGAAAAATGGTTAGCAAGCTTGTTAGCTACTCCAAGGCAGGAAACCAATGAAAATTAAAAATAACCCCCAACTCTTCTCTACAATCTTAGAAAACACTGAAAAATCCCTAATGTGGCACAGCTTCTCCCACTTTCCATCACCACCCCACCCTCAAATCCGATGAGCACTGGATTCACCCAAACTATTAACTCTCCTGCTCTGGCGTTGTAGGACAAGACAGGCAGCAAGTTTACAGGTGAAGCTGCAGTTTTTAAGAAGCAGCGTAGGCCTCCAAAAGCCACAGGAAGCGTTGTGAAGCTGCTGAGAAAAGCACTGATGTGTTTTCCACAACTTTGCCCCAGAGCTCTGACATGCTCTAAGCTAGGGTTCCCCTTGTATCTGTGCATCAGTTTTCACTGTGGAAGGTAGAGAGCTGAAGCAATTTTATCACAAAGGGAGTCTGAATAGGGGAGCCAAACAGAGCCCACAAGTTACAGTTCTTTGGTTTACTTTTAATTTAGTAATAAGCTCCCGCCCTGCCTGCCTGGCGCTGTTCAGAGTTCTTCGCAATCAAATATGAAGTTGCTGGTTCTCAGGCAAAAGGACATGACTTGCCTTTAAACTACCTCTAAGATAGAGGCATCGGAAGGCACTTCACAGATGATTAAGCAGGAATCCAAGTACGACTGGTGGAAAAAGGGAAAATTATCACAAAGATCAAGCTAAGAAGATCGCTGGCTTCTGCAATGAGAGGGTCAAACTCACTAAACTGTTAGTGTTATATTTAGAGCATCAGGTGATCTGGGAGACATTGTTTACTTGATTTTCAAAGTCCTTTACCAAAGGTTCTTGAACAAACATAGCAGTCATGAGATAAGAGGAAAAATCCTCCAGTGGACCAATAACTACAAAAGCAGAAACTAGTGACAAGAAAAAGCCAATTCTTGCAATGGAGAGAAATGGGGCCACTTGGGTGGTGATTGTTAAGAGTTTAAGTAAGCAAGATACAAAAACAACAACGTATGCAAACTATTGTACAATATCCTTAATTTCACATGCTAGCAAAATAATGCTGGGGATCAACCTCTCTGAGTCACTTCCTCGCGAGATGGGTGGTGACCAAATTTGAAATATAAATAAATAAATCATCCAAAACAAATCACATCCCTACATGGAAGGAGATGCCAGGTGTTCAAGCGTCGTTCAATTTCTAATTGCAGGTTTTAGTATCTTGAAGTACTGTCAGAACTTCAAATGGTCACTGAACAAGTGGTTGTTAACCAAGGACTACCCGTAAGAAGGATTCAGATAATCTCAAACAGGTTTAGAGAAGGACAAGAAGGATAATCAGGGAGAGATTAAAGGAGCTGGGAATATTTAACTTTGAGGAAAGAATATTGAAGGAGAG